CTAACTCTAAAAGTGGCACCAGAAGTGCGGAAGTCATTGCCTTAAACATTGGTTCAGTGAAACACGCGAAGGTAGAAAGAGTGAGAGAGCCATCCTAGTAATTATTTTATTTATCTTATTTATTAAAATTCATGACTCTAAGTATAAGTTAGATGTCATTAAAGGTATGACATCTTGTATCTGTATAGCAAAGAATGAATTTGATGTTTAACTTATTGCCATATTGTGAACTAATATCAATATATGTATATAGTTTTCAGTTTAATTGTGTATTTGTTTAATGAAAAGATATATTTTGGATATATATTGTCTCAGGAAAAGAGTAGACTTTTTTATTTATGGCTGTTTCATGTTTGGCATGCCCACCTAATTGTCTGTCATCAATCTGTCTTATCTAGCACCAAAGATCATAAGAATACTGAAGGCATAGAGCGGTGTCTTCTCAATTTGGGGAGCTAGCACAGTGCTCTGAATATAAGACTCAGTAAACGTCGATTCTTAGGAATTTACTTTAAAAAGACTTAGCCCATTTTGTGCTGCCAAACAGAATATAGTAGTTTCCAAGGACTTTTCTTTCTGTAGTTTTCATTATCTGCCATCAATTGTGGTCTGAGAATATTAAATGGAAAATTCCCGAAATAAACAACTCATAAGCTTTAAATTGTGCACCTTCTTGAGTAGTGTGATGAAATTCTGCAGCATCCCACCTGAAGTGTGAATTAGCCCTTTGTCCAGTGTGTTCACACTGCATAGCCACCTGCCCCTTAATCATTTATTTAGCCTCTCTTTAGGATCCACTGTCATAATATTATGGTGTGTCTTTCCACCATGTAGCCTTTATTTTATGCAATAGTCACCCCAAGGCTCCAAAGTATATATAGGAAATGGTGCATCAGGATACACATTTATATATACTATCTGCTTTCAAACAATGCTCTGGGATCGTGGATAAGAGCGACCAGTGCTGGACTGACTAATTCGTAAGACATTTATCATCTCATGGTTCTGAAGAACTAGTTGAACACTGATCGAACCGTGTGGGACTTAACAGGGCAACTTCACAGTGTCATTAGTTGGAGGGAGGGAGAGGAAAGCAAAGGAAGGACTGAACTTGCTTTTTGTAATGAATTCACATCTACCATGTAAGGAACTGACTTAGATGATAATAATGTTAATTTCTTCAGGCACTGTCTTCATGACCCCGTCACATCTGATTTTTACCTCCCAACATATTAGGTTGGTGAATTACCAACACGTGCTTTTGGGAGGAGGGGACTCAAATCATAAACACCTACCTCAGGTGTTACCTCTTTCCTGGTCTCTTCTTCCTCCTAGGCAGGAGCTGGCCCTCCTTTCCCTTACACGTCCCTTGCTGGCTGCGCTGTAAGGCCCAGGGGCCCGCAACCCCATCAGTTTTGTGCTTTAGAGCAGCACACAATCCATGCCTGCTTTAATTGTTTATTAGGATAACTTGTTGAACTCGCATAATTATGAAATGTAAAGTAAACTTTATTATGCCAGATTTTGCTCAGAAACTGAGTGGGTTAAAAAAATTAAAGACACATCCTCTGGAAACGTTCTCTGTTTGAGAACATTTGGTTGGACTTTACGAGTATTTTTCACTGCTGGGACTCAAGTATAGGTTTATCTTTAGTCCCAAGTCAGGACAGAAACTCCACCTTGTGTGACTTCTAAAGCCTGCATTGCCTTCTTGGAGACTGTGCGCCTCTGGCCTCTTGGTTTTGCCATCATGCCTTTAATTTATGATTGACATTAGCCTGGCTCGTCTAGCATTGGTCATGGCTGCCAGATCAGGTAACTGAAGGGACTGTGGTTGTCACTGGAGTGCCAGATTGTGGTGGTGACATAAGGAGTATATATTGCTGGAGGAGCAGAAAACTCAGATTTATGAGCCTTTGCTAGAAGGAAAATGTTTTTTAAAACTTGAAGTATGAAATGGCTTGTTTCACAAAATATAAACAATATTTGTATAGAATTATCACTTTGCATGTGTAAAGTGACATGCTGTAGTGTGCACTTGGAATGCCTGCTGAAGCTGTTTGACTCTGAACCATGGGGATACAGTGGTGTTTTGTTCTAGAGAAAGATGCATCAAGGAAAGAATGTTATTTTATAACAATGCCTTAGGCTCAGAGCCCCATAATTCTGTTGAAATTTTAATACAACCATTTGACCTTAGTATTTTTTGTATTGCTATTTTTATTTTGAGATCACTAGAGAGTCCCATGTTGTTTTCAGAAGTGATACAGATGTGTATGTAACCCGTTTCCTTCCAGTGCTATCATCTTGTCTGGCAGCTGGGAAATTGTCACTGATACAACCTGTTATGATTTGAGTGTATTCCTCAGATTTCATGTGTTGTGAGTTAAGTTCCAGGGCTGACAGTTTGAGGGAAGTGAGGCCTTCGATAGGAGGCTAGCCCAGTAGGGTTCATCCCTCATGAGTGAGCTAATGTCCTCTTTGCAGGAGTGAGCTTGTTGTGAACAAGCGCTCTGTCACCTCTCGCTCTTCTGCTTTCTACCGTGAGACGACATAGTGCAGATGTACTCCTGAGCTGCCCCCCCCTTCATGCTGGGGCCCAAGTAAACTTGCCTTGTTCATTAATTATTCAGCCTGTGACATTCTGCTATAGTAATATGAAAGAATCTCCAAGACACTTAGATTCACCAGTTTTCTGTTCATTTTTATGTGTTTGTATGTCTCGTTTTGCATGTACAACTTACCATTTGCCTTTTTAAATTGAATTTATTCATTTATTTTATATCCCAACTTCAATTTCCCCTCTCTTCTCTCCTCCCAATTCCCCCCTCACCCCCTCTGCCCCACCCCAATCCGTTCCTCTGTTTCTGTTTAGAAAAGGGCAGGCTTCCCATGGGTGTCAACAAAGCATGGCGTATCAAGTTAACGTAGAACTAAGCTCCTTCCTTCATATGAAGACTGGGTGAAGCAACATAGTATAAGGAATATATTTCCCAAAGCCTGCCAAAGCATTGGGGACAGGCCCTGTTGCCATTGCCAGGAGTCCCACAAGTAGATCTAACTATACAACTGTCACACATATGTAGAGGACCTAGGTCGGTCCCATGCCGGCTCCTTAGTGTCTATGAGCCCAGGTGAGTTGTCTCTGTAGGTTCTCTTGTGATGACCCTCCTCCCTCACCCCCCCCCCGGCTCATTTAAACACAAAGGAAATAAGGATTAGATAAATCACACGAAATGCTTAAATGTAGACATGAAAATCAAATATTGACTTATTTTGATTTTTTGTTAACAATAATAATTAGCAGCAAGTTTCATTTGAGTTGCCTAAGGACTTTATTATGAACTTATCACACACCAGGGGCTTCTGGTGTATTGTCTTATGTGACCTTCCTAGCGATTATACCGTATAAATTAGATCAAAGTTGGTTTACTATACTTAATTATCCCTGGAGTCATTTTCCAAGGAATAGGCATTTTTTAAAACAACTCTTGAAATTAGTAGGAAAAAAGAAACCTCTTTTGTTTTCATCCTTTTACATTTTAAGTCTCTTCCATGACTGCTGATACTGGCAATTGTTGAGTGTGGGGATGTATCTCTGTGGGAGTTAGGAAGGGAGGAAGGGTGAGGGAGTACTGTCTTATAGATGGAGTAATGGTGAGATGTTTTAAAGTCTTTGTATTGTAAAGAAGACCTAGTTTATACAGAGTGCCAGGTTTTAAAGAGAATTAATGTGAACTATCACAAATACTTAAAAGTATAATTATATTTTTCCATAGTCTAATTTAGGCTTATTCTTACTACCATTTTTGGCTAAATACAGCCTCGGGGGTGTTTGGATTTACTTAGATGCCCATTGTTACGTATCTGACTTTACAGTGGTGCCACATGCATGTGCCTGTAAGTTAGCACTGATGCGTGTTAGAAAGGTAAGAGATACACTAATCAGGAGTCCATAATTTACTGTTCTTTGCTTGTTAAGTGTCTTGTAAAGCTGTCGCTATGATGGATGTCAGCCCTTACTCAGACTAGGGGTATGTTGGTGCCTCAGGAGGTCTTGGTGTTTTTGTAGACAGCAGACAGAAATAAAATGAATTCTGTCCTTTTTACCTCCTGTAATCCTGCTAGAAAATGCACCATGTGCTGGGATCTGATATTGACTTCTGCCAGGTCACCTCCCTCAAGAGTCATGGGCAAGCCCCACTGCAACAGTCTGCTGCTTTCGACTGAGACGAATGGCTCCTGTGGATGCCGCACTTCTGTCTGCCAAGAATGCCACAGCAACCTGCATCTGCCACCAGAGGGGAAGCAGAAAACTCCATACACTGCAGATATAAACTACGTTTTGCACAGTCCCTTTGGGGGAAAAAAAATCATAGTCCACAGTGATAGAACAGCCTGTAAATCACCATGTGGGGCTGATTTTTGTCCTACGTGGCAGAACTTTATTTGCATGTTAGATAATGCAAATCTTTTGAAGTTTTATGTTATTAGGAATTCTTTGCAAACTACAAAGCCATTTGGAGCTACTCTATCCATTTTCTCCTAAGGAAGTTTTTCCTCCTCATGACTCATTCCACTCCATGGCTAATAAGAGGGGAATGTAGTAACGGTTAAAGAAAGGAATGCATGCATTTTCTACCTTTTTCCTTCTTTCTTTTTTATCTCTTTTTCTTTCTTTCTTTCTTTCTTTCTTTCTTCCTTTCTCTCTTTCTTTTTGAGCACTGTACACATTTTCTGTCTTGGGTTATGTAAACTTGCATGACTTTAAAATGCTGACTAGTGTGGAAGGTAAAAAGCTCTCCTGTTAATATATACTTCTTTGGAATTTAAAAATCAAAACACTTCCTCTGCTTCTTGAGAGAATTGTTTTGCTTGATGGCCCAGAATACAAATCCAGTAAAAATGACATATTTCAGCTGTCACTTACACATACACCTTCAGTGAAATTAATGAGATCACCCTAAGATTGCACTTTGTGTTTTATTTTTACTTTATAGGTCTGTATGAGCTGTTGGCTGCTCTGCCCGCCCAGCTGCAGCCACATGTGAATAGCCAGGAGGACCTGACCTTCCTCTGGGACATGTTTGGTGAAAAGAGCCTGCATTCACTGGTCAAGGTAAACCACACTGATGTCAAGTTCTCTGAGTGCCATCTAGTAAACCAGAGACAAAATTGTTACTGTCTGAAAACAAAACAGCCTTGTTATGTTTCACGGCCAGGCGTGGAAGTTGTTAAAAATCTTACCAAAAATACATAGATGACTTCACGGAAGGGCACGATGTGGCCGTGCAGGCATTAGCAGCAGCATGCGGCTGCCCTTGTTTAGACAAAAGACAAAATAGTGACAGGAAGGTTGAGACTCCGTTATGGTCGACATTTGTGGGCTGGAATTTCACTTAAATAAACAAATGTTCACAGCAGAAATTAGAAGGGATATGTGTTCTGAGGTCAGAAACGGCAGCAGTCCAGAAGCCACATTAATTTAAAATAATTTCCTTTAACAAAGTCAACTGAAATTCTAGTATGCTGTTTCTTTTATCGGCCTGACTCCATTGAAATGGTATTTTGTAGAGGAATACAGTGGAGCTATTATGAATAAAAACAGTTTTTGGAGCCCATTTTAGGGAAAGCATCCTGCCACGAGAACTGTCAGCCACAGGGAACCAGATCCCGTCTTACAGAAACACTGGGAGTGACCAGCTCTCTTAAAATAGTAAAATGAGAATAAGAAGCTCACTGGAAAACACACTGCTCAAACTTCTGGAAATATAAACTGCGTTTTCTCTCATTTAACTCAGGCTGAAAGAAATGCCTAGTCTTTCTTGTGTCTGTAGGAGATAGAAGCCCATGTCTCCGTGAAATCTGGACCTATACTTTATTCAGCTAACTTTGTTAGGGTTGTCTGTTGTGAGGGGAGGCTTTTATCTGGTACATAGTATTAGAAAATGGACCATTTCTGAATTGCCACTGTTTACAGAGCAGAAATGGTCTATGTGTTTCTTTTCCTGAAATTTGTCTGTTTTGAATAGCAACAATACTAAAGAAACTAATGTCAATACATGGTCCTCCCTAGCAGTACATTTTACAGCCTAGAGTTATTCATTAATTTATTTTTTCATAATAATTCAATTACTGAGGTATCTTTATGCTCTAATTCATTTTAGGCAGCTTAGTTAATTTCTTGGGATGGGTGAGAAATGATCTTGGGCTTATAATTTAGGAGTTCTCATGTCTTAGTATAGTAATAATAAAAAATGCTTCTCTGTTGAATGTGTGGAAGTGGAGTAGCTACAGTTGCATGCACACTGATTTTAGCATTTGCCGTAAAGAATAACATGTATTTGAATTGGCATCATCCCTGTGTCACTAAGTAAACATTCCCCCAAATAATAGATGCATGTTTATTTGTATTTATTTATAACATAGCTGTAATTTCATTACCTAAAATAGAAGGCAGAATGTGTGTCAGCAAGTTGACAATTTTTATAAAACTGTTACCATCTCAGTTCTTGGATAGTTATGTATGTTAGGCAGATTTATTACATATTGAGGAAAAGGTTATCAGAGCACATAAAAAGTGAAAGAATGCCAGAGGTTGTGGTTACCGCTGTTAAAAGGATGAAACTAACGTATGGAACAAATTCCTACATACATTGGACAGTGAGTCTTCAAAATAGGCTATTTTCCAAAGTGTCAGTGGCAAGTGGGTAGGAAGCATCCAAGACGGTGCTAGTATCTGGTTTCCTAAAAACAAAGAGGCCAATGGATGGATATTTTGGCATTTTAGATAGCTCAGTTGACATGCGTACTGTTCCATATGTTTTCAGTAATTGCTATAAAATGCATTTTTTCAAATGAGTCTCATTTGATGCCACTCGCAGAGTATTTGTGCTTCATCCATCCTCTCCTCTGCCCCCAGCTCTGATTAGATGCAGCTCTCAGTTATGTCCTCTGCCTGACCCATTCTATTAGTTTTAAATATGTAAAGTCTAAAGCGCCTCCAGGAGGCAAACTCATGGGATCTTAGCTTAAAACATCTGGAACAGACCACTTAACTGTATTCCAAATGCCTCTAGTTAAGGCTGGAGGACAGAAGCCTTTAGCGTTTGTACATAAATCTTTCTAGAGCCAAAGGAATTTGTTTGAAAAGATTTGTTATAGAGTGAACCAAAATGTGCTTGGGTTTTATGCTCTTGCCTGAAGTTAAAGCTGTTACTGTGTGATTTAGAACTGGAGAATACAGAATTTGATTTTCATTCTAGCACAGAATTTTCATGGTCCTTGTAGTGTGTGTGTGTGTGTGTGTGTGTGTGTGTGTGTGTGTGTGTGTGGTGTAAATTGCCACACACTTTTAAAGGTTTAAAATACTTGTAACTTTGGCATCTGATGTAAAAATACTCAAGAAGAACTGCACATTACAGTCTTAGTGACAGGTACTGCCCTCTACTTTGGATATTGAGATTGTTACTGGAAAGAAAAGTGATCCTAGAGGGCTTGTCCAACTTTTTGATGATGTAACCCAGTATTACCAACTATAAAGTTGATGCTCCAAAGAGGCACAGTTGAGTTAACAAAAAAAAAAATCACAAAGAAATCTCAATATTTTAAATGAGTTTATGATTTTGCACTGGGACACATTCATAGTTAGATGCACCTACAGGGTGTCCGCTGAGCATGATATTTAAAAGAAAAGCTGAAAATAAAAAGCACAAGGTGTCATTCTGTTGGTCTCAGGAGGAAGGCAGTGCTGAGAGCGTTTGAGAGCTCTCGTGTCTGCTTGGTGGGACCTGCACATGCGGAGGACTAGGAAGCATCATTCACTCAGTCCAGCCAGCACAAGAGGACACATCTTTTGCAAATGCACAGAGTCCACATAGCGTTTGTTTTATGCCCTAACTTCATTTCTAGTTTTATCTTCTGTTCTTACCACTTTAAAAAAATGAATGAGTGCTCATTACTTAATTTTCTTTAGTTGTGTATATATTTATAATCTGATTTAAATTCATTTTAGAACAAGATAGGGCGTAGAACTTGCTTAAATATTGAATTTCTTTTAAATTGGGTTGCACTTGTATCTCCTCAAGAAACTTCTCTTTTTAACTCAAAATTTTGTTGGCTGTCTAAGATGTGAATACCCAACCACTATGACTTTACACTCTTATACATGTTCCTCCAGCCTTTCAGTAGTTATGTGTGGGAGGACATGAAGTAAATAAAAGTTCGACTATTTCAACAAACATTGATTTGTATTTTCAGGGAGATTTTTCGTGCACAACAGAATTACTGTGCTTTTTTTCTGGATTTCAGTGTTAGAACAGCAATGAGACCTGTGGAATTTCAGTCGGTAGAGTGCTTGCCTTAAAGTCATAAGGATCTGAATCTGATTCCACAGAACCTGTGTTAAAGCCTGTATTTATAATGCCAGGACTAGGAAGGCAGAGGTTCCAGAGATTCTGTGGTGCTAACCCAGCCTGCTTGATGAATTCTATGTCAGTAAAGACACTGTGTATAAAAATCAAAGTGGTTGGTACCTGAGGAATGACACCCAAAGTTGTCCTCTGGCGTTCATGAATATATACACCCTACCACTCCCTTACTATTATCTTCAATTAGAATAAATACAGTTAGACCTGCACATCACTCATGTGTCCAGTCCCAGTCTTAATAATGATTATTGATGAATAATTATTACTATATAACTATTGTATTTCTGTCTTTGTTGAGTTCTTGCTATGTGCTGAGCATTTTCTAAACTATCTGCTGAGAATTTCCAAGATGAAGACACAGTTTTTCATGGCGTTATACATAGGTACTTGTCAATTACAGTGTCTCGTGATAAATCACATGTGTAATTCAATATTAGCTCCAGTATGGGTTCCTTGAGGATTCGATTTCCTCAGCTAGACCCTGCCTGCTTAGCAGAAGTTTCTTAGGCAACTATTTATTGGGGGTAGTGGGAAGTTAGACAAAAGGAGTAATGTGCAGCTTGAGAGGTAATAGTGAGCATTTTGCCTTTAGAATGGGGCGTGTTTGTCTGGCATATGAATAATGTAAAAATGGGGCGTGTTTGCCTGGCATATGAATTATGTAAAATTGTGAGTAAAGCCCAAGAAGGCAAAGATGTTCTCATCAGTGTCTCTGTAAACCCAAGTCAGTGGCGGCTGTTTCCTTGAAAGGGTAAAAGCAGGGGAGTAAAAAATACCTTTCTTTCTTTCTTTCTTTCTTTCTTTCTTTCTTTCTTTTTGTTTAAACTCTTATTTTTAATTTTATTTATTTATTTAAGGGAGGGAGAGATTTTATTTTAACTCACAGTTCAAAGGTTATTGTTTTATTTACTTTATTATGTATGTGAGTGCATGTTTATGTGTGGCTATGTGCCCATGAGTATAGTTATCTATGGAGGCCAATAGAGGGCTTTGGACTCCCCCCTGCCATGAGAGGGGTTATAGATGATTGTGAGCCATTGAATATGGGGACCTAGGAACTGAACTCAGGTCCTTTGCAAGAGCAGTACATGCTCTTAACTACTGGGACAGCTCTCCAACTCATTTTCTTTTAGAAATAAATTGGCGTACTATAGAGGCTAGATAGGGCATGGCGTTTCCAAGTCAAAGATGATGACAGCAAAGCATTGGTTTCCAGTCTGAGAGGTGCATGCTGGCTCTGCTGTTCTCTATCATATTGAGACTCCTCTTGTTCTGTGATCCACTCACCAGTGTCAAGCTGTTGGGTGTTGGGAGGAGATTCAGGAGACATCTCTGAGAGTTCTCTACAAGCATATAAGTTCTCATACATTTTGACTATCTCCGCATAGGAAATGAGAAATATTTTGGATGTTTGCTCAGTATTTAGGGTATAATAAAATAATTAGACTCATGCATCCAGAGTTGAGGATAATTACATTCAAGAATGTAGGTAATAGGTTTAGGTTAAAGTACAGAACATCCTTTAAATCACCATGTGACTGTTAATGATCACTTGCATGTATAAATGGCCTCATAATTTGAGAGTGACTGATATTTTTGTGTGCATATGACTGTGATGAATGTACGCTGAAGACAGTACCTAACTGCTTTCTTTGAATGTGTACCTGTGTTGAAATTTTCTCCATCATTA